TACGTTATACGTCATTATTTATTCATTCATTCTAACACACAACAACAATCAATGACTTTTAACTCACTAGATAAGGTCGGTGATATAATGACACAACTTTAATTTTCTATCCTAATTAATAACAAATGACTATCTATGTATGGATTATGGTCTGATATGCGTTATGTTATTTTTGAATTATGAATATTTAGATTATAAATATTATTTTTCGTATATAAAAATATTTAAATTAATAATAATTTTTTTATATATAAATATTATTTTATTTATGTATCGTTATCAAAAATATCTGAATCAATAGTAAATTTTTGTATATAAAAATATTTAAATCAATAGTAGATTTTTTTTATATAGTGTTTTTTAATAAAAAATATTTGAATTATAAATATCATTTTTTGTATTTACAAATATTTAGATCAATGATAGATTATTTTCCGTGTACAAATGTTATTTTTGTTTAAGTGTCGTTATAAAAAATATTTGGATCAATAATAAATTTTCATATATAAAAATATTTAGATCAATAATAAATTTTTTCCTGTATACTATTTTTGAATAAAAAATATTTAGATCATAAATACAATTGTTCATATATAAAAATATTTAGATCAATAATAAATTTTTTTCCGTGTACAAATATTATTTTTGTTTAGGTATCATTATCAAAAATGTCTGGATCAATAGTAAATTTTCGTATATTTAGTTCAATAATAGATTTTTTCTCGTATACTATTTTTGAATCAATAACATTTGGATCATAAATACGATTTTTCGTATATAAAAATATTTAGATCAATAATAGATTATTTCCCGTGTACAAATATTATTTTTGTTTATGTATGGTCATCAAAAAAATATGGATCAATAGTAAATTTTTATATATAAAAATATTTAGATCAATAATAACTATTTTCCCGTATACTATTTTTTAATCATAAACATTTGGATCATAAATATCATTTTTTCGTATAACAAAATATTTAAATCAATAATAACTTTTTTTTTCGTGTACAAATATTATTTGAATAGTAATATTATGAGTGAAATGTACGAATGAATCACCATGTCTTTTTCAATCAATATCAAGTCATTTACATTAATATTACTTTCCTGCACTTTAAGTTCCAACCAAAGTCATTTTATATTTTATAAATCTTTCTTGCATTATTTTAAAGATTCACAGTAGTTTTGAATTCCTTGCTATCAAGAAACTTATGCACATATGTCCTAGGATCAATCTAGTCGATTTTGTAAGTAACCAAAATATTATCTTTTGGATGACTAATGGTTGTTTACCAAAATCGACGGTAAACAAATGTGTTTTGGGCTTCTCAAACTCGGGCATATCTTAATGTGTCGAACCAATGTGGACGTGGGCGGCTTGGTAGCTTATATGGGATATACATCCCGTACGTACATAAACCCCCCAAGCGTGAGGCCTAGTAAGGGAGAAGCGCTTAAGTTGTCTGAACTTGACGCTTCGATGGTTGACTTGGTAGCTTATCTGGTATAATACATCCCGGACGTACATAAGTTCCCCAAGCATGAGATTTGGTAAGGGCGATACGCTTAAGTTGTCTGAACATGACACCTCGATGGTCGACTTGGTAGCTTATCTGGGATATACATCTCGAACGTACATAAGTCCCCCAAGCGTGAGGCCTGGTAAGGGCGAAACGCTTAAGTTATTGGCGGTTTGGAATGCGCCTTTGACTGGGTAATAAATTTAAGACCGAATACAGACTCCAACGGCAACTATAATTTCAAACGATGTTGGTTGTTTCTCTTCCTGCCAAGTGTCTGATGGCGTGTAGCTGTGATGCTTCATTATTTTGAAACGGTTTTAGTAATGATGACTATTAATGGGATACGTGTACCATCATTTAATCCTAGTAGCAACTATTCATCTAGCCATAGCTTTGAAACGTTTTTAGTTGGCTTTTCTTTAGCCAAAAAGCATTTCGTTCCCAAGCTTTTTTTCTCTTTCTCTCTTCCAGCTTCTCATTCCCGCTATCCACGAAACTTTTTCTCTTCAAAATTTCTCTGGTAATTTCATCCCTACACTTTCATTTGTTTAATTTTTATTTACATAATATGGAACTTATCTGTGAGTGTGATGAGACTGATAAGGTAGTTGCTCTTTTAACTACTTTAGAACGACGTAGATTGTGGGATGAATATATAAAATCTTTTAGGTAAAACCGATTGGGGGTTTATAAATAGGGAGGAATATGGTGATTTCATCGATGTTTCATTTTGTAGCGACACTGACTCAGTGTCTTCTTCCCCAGGTTCGGTTGAAGTCACCATGGAGCTTTCTCGTGCCTCGTTTAATCTGGCGGTCTTGAAGTCCAACTCGATGTGTTTAGGTGAACAATTCTTCAAATCTTTTAGGGAAGGTATCTATATTTCTAACACTGGCAAGGAGGATGACGTTATCTTGGAGCCATGTATTTCAGGTGAGAAAGTTTGCATGTATCGTCCCCATGGGTCTCCAAATGGGTTCTTCTATTTTTATGAGGACGTGCTAGAGAACCTTTGGATCAGCATTCTTTTTACTGAGTTTGAGTTTGATATATTGACCGCCCTAAAAATTGCCCCTTCCTAGCTTCAACCCAACAATTGGGGATTTGTAAGGTCTTTTGAGATATTGTGTGGTTCTCTTGGCATTACTCCTACCCTGAGCATTTTTTTTCTCTTTCTATAAGGTTAAGGGTGTTATGAGCAGGAGATGGATTTCCTTGAAGGGTATCCCGAGTCGGGCCCTTTTCCAAGTATATACTTCCAACTTCAATAATTTTAAAGATAAGTTTCTTAGGGTGAAGGTTATTGAGAATTTCCCAGAAGTGTTGTATAATGAGGACGAGTCGCACCCCTTTCATGTCTATTGGACTAAAAATCTCGTGCCCATCGGAGACTATGAAGTCAGTAAATTGAGTGAAACAAAGAAAGATGTGGTGGAAATATTTTGTGCCTTTGGGATCACGATGGTGCGTGATCTCTTAAGCTATGAGCAGGAGGATGTGAGTATTTGGAGGTTTTAGTTAAAAGGGATTTATTTCTGACCGAGATGGTTTCTCATGTGCAAATGTTTACGTCCCTTATTGTTCATAATATGCCTTTTTTGGTTTTGCAGAAAAAATGACAAGCTTTAACCTTAAGGAGAGGATATCGTTGTTGGAAAAGACTTCGTAAGGTGCCGGAAAGAGTGATTCGTGCAGGATTGTGGTCCAAATTTAGAAGAAGAAAAAGACTGGGGTGTAGGAGGTGCTTTCCCAGGATGCTCTGATCATTGTTGAATCTCCTGCCCGCCCTCCTTTGAAGAAGACGAAAATGGATCATGGGAAGGTTGTCTCCGTCGAAACATCACAAATAACTCATGACGACGAGTTCAAAGATTTTCTAGGCGGGTCCCATTAACGATACTATGGTTGGGGATTCTACTTCTTGCCCTTCTAAGTTCAGGTTCTAGGACTCTTTCTTTGACGACCTACGATTTTTGTATGACTATCTTAATGCTGAAGGAGATGTCGAGAAGGTGAAATTGATAGGTGTCCAAAAGTTGATCCAAAATATTGGTACTCGTCTGATGAATACAATTGTCTTATGCTAGACTTTATTCGAGGTTTCTAACTCTTTTGAGAAGAATAAAGTTGAACTAAATAAAAAGTTCAAAGAAATGCAAAAGTCCCATGAGTTAAAAACTAAATTGTGCGTCTTAGGTTTCACCTCGATTGATTATTGGCCGATTTAAAAGTTTTTTTATGAAATCTATTACTTGTAGTAATTTTATTTGTGTATATTATAAAAAACCTTATAAATAATATTTTAACTGTTTTTTTTTATCATAAGTCGTTTTAATATTTTCACGAGTGATAAATAATGTAATGATTATTATATAATAAAAAATTATAAAATAAATTATAAAATTATTTTTATTAACCATATGGAAAAAGTAAATTAGAAGAATTAAAAAAAAAAAAAGAATGATAAATAGTACTACCTACTAAAAGTAAAAAATATATTTCATTAATATTGTATTAACGATTTGTAGTTTTCACATGCATAGAGTTTGTAATCTCAAAAGACATAACTTAAATTTCCCATAAAAAGATTGTATATGGAAAAAACATGTTGTAAAAAGGTGGTAGGGAAAGAAAAACATGATAGGATTGAATAAAGGACATGTTGACGTGCGTTGTTCCTTATGTTCTAAGCTATCCATCCCATTCCCTGGTATATTGTAATCATATTTGCATGGTTAGGGTGACAGACTGTTATTCTTTCCTCATCACCTATACCCTCCGGTGGGACTCTCTCTTTCAGTTTCTCTTTCTCTCTCTCTCTCTCCACACACAAAAAACGCGTATATTTGCTGGTTTCTTCTTTTTCAAACGCCACCTTTTCATCTCAACAAAACAACGCCACCTCTTTTGAGTTTGCATCCAACCATTCTTCACACGCACAACTAATTCATCCATTCCTTTCACCTCTCTTCCTTTTCTTTTAAGAATCAAACAAGGTATGTTATGTATTCATTAATATTACTCTTCAATCTTCATTTTCATTCATGCATGCATTCATGCCATGGCTTCTTTTCAACGGATTTTTCTCTCTTATCCTCACATCATACCTATAAAGGGTCTCTCTAGTCATAACATTATTTGTATTCTCTTCTCTTGTTATTACAATCTTTTTGGTCTGAATTTTATCTGATTCAATTCGTGATCTATCATGTTATTATGTTATTTTACAAAATCGTGTATGGATCTCCTAGTCATAGCTAGAAATCGATCATGGAACGTGTTCTATTTTAACAGATTTGCCAAATATTAGCTATGTTGTTTTATTGATGTTTGTGAAAACCCTTAAACTTGTCAAATTAACATTTTTGTTTCAAATATCCACTCGATCTCCGCATACCAATTTTACTAACTTCTGCTCATTCTTCTTATCTATTGCAGGGGTTTTTGAAATTGTTGTTTAATTCTTGATCAGTGATGGCAGAGGAAATTATTACTGTTAATCAAGTGGAGTATGAGATGATTGAGCCAGAAGATGTTGATGGGAAAGCAAATCCTAATGAGGGTTTCATTATCACAAAAGGAGAGGAAATTACTGATAATCAAGTGGAGTCTGAGATGATTGAGCCAGAAGATGTTGATGAGAAAGATAATCCTAGAGAGGGTTTAACTATCACAAAACCAGAGGAAATTACGGTTAACCAAGTGGAGTTTGAGATGATTGAGCCTGAAGATGTTGATGAGAAAGAAAATTCTAACGAGGGTTTAACTATCACAAAAGGTCCGCATATGATTCTTTCGCGTTATCGTCGTGAGCGTAGGAGTTCCTGTCACGATTTCTGCAAATATGGCATCCAGCACTCCGATGAAGAAAAACCATGGAAAACAACAAAGAAAATGAGGGAAAGAAAAACCAATGTAACTTCATTGGAAGGGACTGATAAATCAGGAAGAAGTTCAAAACTTGGAGATCCTAATTATCGTGTTGACATTAAGGAAGTAATAACAAATGAAAAAACAGACATTTCAGAGAAAAGTTCAACACCTTTTGAAGAAGCAGATGTTTTCGTGCATAATAACAGCGACATAGTACAAGAAAGTTCTGAGGCATCTTCTTCTCTTCATGTGAAGGAATGTTCCAAAACTCATAGAAAATGGGAAATAGTCAAAAACAAATGTGCTTTTGGTTCAAGCAGCAGAAAAGAAACTGCAATCCAAAGCAACCAGAAAATAAAATCTTCTGGTGGAGGCAAGGATAAATCATCAGCATCAAATTTTCTCTTGTCTTCAAAACAAAATGTCAAGAAATCTTCAAGCTCGAGTTATACTGCCAAAAATTTGAAAAGAGTGTCTTCTCAGAAAAATCATGAGAATGGTGAAGGCAAACATGAATTAGCCAACAATGACAATTTACCAGAGAAAATTTTGCATGCCATTGAACCGAACTCGGAAAATTTATCTGAGGAACCTACTCTGGCTTGTGATGCAACTAAGCCACCTTCTCCTTCACTTTCGCTGTCATCGTCAAAGGACAAAAGCTTAAAGAGAACCAGTAAGAAAACCGGCAAGCCTGTGATGTCTGCATCTTCAAGGAAAGGCCTCAGACATGCTGGACATGGAACACTCACTCATCAATCCTCAGGGAACAAATTCAAAACAAACATACAACTTAAAACACACAATGTTTCGCGACCACCATCAGTGTTATCATCTGTTTCTTCATCTAACACTTCCCTCAAAAAACAAAATGGTGTTACTTCTAAGCCCAATAAAACAGGACATGTTAATCAGGGTGAACATTTGAAGGTAGGGTACAAAATCAGGCCTAAAATGAGCACAATAGTTGGGGGGGCAAATAAAGCTATTCCATCAAGGAAGTTAACTTTTAGGAGAGGAAAGGTGATTGAAACTCAGCCTCAAAGCAACAACATTGCAAGGAGACTCAAATTCAAGCCGGTGCGCTTGCTTGGTGATGACGCCAGAAGAGATATAAATAGCACAAGAAAAAGGATCATGACCAATAAAGAAGTTGATGGTGGTGAGTTAAATGCTGCAAATGTCAAAACAGAGAAAATTGACCTCAAACACCAAACTATGGAAAGAGGTAAAAACAGAAATTTTGCGAGAAAGGTCAGCGGTGTTGATAGAAGCAAGGTATCTGGTTCAAAATCAGGATCTGAGGAAATTGTTTTGAGGCATCAAAATGTAGAAGCGAGGAAACAAAATACAGGTTTGTATAATAATGTCATTGAAGAAACTGCAAGCAAACTTGCTGGACTAAGGAAGAGCAAGGTCAAGGCTCTAGTTGGTGCATTTGAAACTGTGATATCTCTTGATTCTCCTAGAGAGGCCGCAACTGCAGAAGCGAGCGCAGTTTGTTGAGTGTTACTGAGTACTAGTGTCAGCCCTATATATCTGGGTTATTGTATATATTGATAATTGTTGATTGAACAAAAAAGGAAGAACTGTCTGAAAGTGACTTTGGTCCTAAGATTTGATGTTTCTAAAACTGCATCTGTTTGTGGCTGGGATTTATTAAGCTTGGATTGTTAATGTTGTTTACGGTGTCTTCAACTGTTTCTTTGTGTTGTTGAGATTTGGTGAATGAGAGGATTATTTTAATTGGAATGTAGTTATCTTTACTGATAGAGTTTTTCCTTTAATAATCTGGATATAAGGTTACTCCTCTGATATCACCAACATGTTTTAAATTAACAAGCATCTAATAGACACTGACAGTTACTAATATTGACAAGTTAAAAGAAAAGTACTGCAGGGTTGCTATTTCACAAGTGCCACAATTTTGTGCGCTTTAAAGTGTATGAATTCTGCATTGTATGTATACAAAAATAAAATGAATGTATGATTCAAGAACACACAAGTATAGTTACTTAACAAGCAGGATCGAGGTTAAACACCCTCAGATTGAATACACGAGTTGCAATGCAGAGATGTGAGGGATGTGTGAATTGAATTACATTTATGTTGAAGTGTCATTTTCAGTACTTACAAGCAGTATCAATCATACGAAAACGAAGCATATGTTCCTTGATTTTGCTTTTGAAGCTATTACAAAATCCGACAGTGGCTCACTTAAAACTATAAAAGTTGATTAAAAATAACAAGATTAAAAAAAGGAATACAATTCTGTAATCTGAATGGATCAACCACACATATAGAAAAAGATGTATTTTTTATCAAAAAATGGAAATGTTAACCAACCTTACACCTTTAGACATCATGCAACTACCATACTATGGTAATTAACCAACGGTTCACCTTTAGACATCATGCAACTACCATACTATGGTAATTAACCGGCCACTCTTCCATTATTATGTATATATTACAAAAATGCTAAACCAGCCTTACTGTGTTTATATTTCCCGAACTGTTGAGTATTTTTGGCATTAGGTGACTAGGAATCATGCTTCATGTATTGCTATATTATTTACTCAGACAGATTAATGTCTTCAGGGCATCGTTAGCTTTAAGTATGTTCATTTGCTGTATGAGATCACAAAACTTAAACTCGGACTTAATCAACCTCGTTTGTAATATCAGTTGAAAAGAACTGCTCTACTTTATCAAGGAAACTGTGAGGAAATCTACAATGCAACAGTGAATGTGAGTACTTAGGAATCGCTTCGTCTGAATTCTTAGTTGCCTTGCCATCCCGCAGGCTTCTTGCCCTGCTACTACTTTTCGTGCCATTTCCCAAAGCACCGCCCTTCCCAAAGGAAGCCCTAGTGCCTTTGCCATTGGAACGGCCGTGTTTTACGATACCTGATTGATTACTCCCACTAGATTCATCTGTTGTGATATTGTCTAAGTTTGAATTAAATTGAATCGCAGGTGCAGCAGTTCTGCAAGATCTTAGCAAGGAAAGTAGCATGTCAACACTTAGTTCTTGCTGAACCATGAACTTGTTCTGCTCGCACCCATAGCATGCAGCAACTAATATGCCAGCCAATATTGGCATCAACTCTGGGTCACTGAAGAAAACGAATGGCAGATCGCATACCTGTATTCTTACAACTGAGCATTAGATTATCTTAACAAAATTGATTAATAAAATTAATCAAAATTTCTTAATTATTGACCTTGTGGAGGATGGTGGGTGTGGGACTCTTTCCCCATCGAAGGACAGCTTGATTTCCAGGATGAAGCAGTGCAAAGTGACCAAGAAGAGATAATGATTCAAGCATAAGTGAACCAATCTGAAAAACAATGCAGATTGTGGCATTAAACTAGCTGTAGCTACGTAGCCACTGACAAATTAACTGAAGGCATCTAGATACTAACATAGCATGAAGATAAATGAAAGGTAATAATCTGTGCTATAAATGCTTCGAAAGCAAAGCGCACTCGTTGCAACTATTATTTCTGTTTGGAAAATCATTAGACTTCTTCCTTTATTCCTTTACTTTTGGAATTTAAGTGTATCCTCTTGTTTGTGTACAGAAGGGATGTCTACCAAAAAATTAGAAGGGAAAATAAAAAAGAAATAGTTATCCTTTATGTTTGGGGGGTTTCATGGAAATAACACTAAAATATATATGGGTCAGAGAGGCAAGTTAGGGTTACGAAGGCCAAGATAAGTCTTTCGTTAGTAAAAAGTACTGATGATTTATTTATTTATTTATTTTGGAGTAGCTGATGAGTCACCTGATCATTAGGAGCTTTCCACCGGCTGGCACAATGAGAAAGAAGGAAGCTCATCAAATGGAAGATTTCCATTTTCAGATCTGGCATAGCCTATGAACAAAACAGAAAAGGGAATATAAGAAAATATGTCAATAACCGGCACCAGGAAGAAGAGAGAGGGTAAATATAATCTAACATACAAAATCAACCTTAAATATCTAAGCTTTCTTACAGCTTCTTTAAATATAACTTAATATTATTATTATAAGTGGAAACAGCAAACTTACCAGCATTCTCTGCAAAAATGCAAGATCCAAAAGAGCCACATTATTCAACACCTTCAATACTCCAGTTGCCACCTCTTCAAAATTAGATGGCAGGATAAAAGAACCCTAGAAGAAATTGAATTATTGAACTTCAAATAACTCAAGAAAAACTTATTATCAAGAGACACAAGTAGAAGAATAAGAAATTACTACAGCCTAAATTCACATCATCGTGGTAGTAAATTACTACTTCCAACCTTAAATAATATAGGACCACCCCGTGGACTTAATCACAAATTTTAAGAAAGTTGATAGCAAATATTAAACTTATTTACAATTGATACTGTTTTACAAGTTTATCCTTCAAGAGAGAATTAATAAAATATGTGGGATAATGGAAATATCATCTAATATGTTTTCATGATAAAGACTTTTGACATAAATTATTACTTTTATAAATGGTTTTGCATAATAGCATGTTACAGAAAACTACCTGTTCAGAGGATGATCTATTGTTTGCCTGCAGAAGAACAGCAGTCAAAAGAGAAGGGAGACTGACAAGTCCAGTTTCAGAAACAGACGAAAGAAGGAATACCACTGGCTGAGCCAAATTTGACTCTTTTTCATTTTTTTGCGCTGTAAGTTTTTCATCTCTCTGGGGAACAACATAAGTCACAGCATCATCATTCTGGTTTTTCTTAGACTCATCTAGATTAGCGATCTTCTCCACATCATTGTTTTTCAATTTAACAGAACTACTATCATGCTCCAATTCACAGCCCTTGCCAATAGAAAACGAGTCTTCATTCCTATCCACCTTACTTATTTCATCCAGTGGTCTATCCTCGGGGACATCAGGCAAAGGCATAACAGAGCCACTGTTGATTAAGGGGTTGTAATCTCCCCGAGAGTTCTTCACTATCGAGAGTACGGAATTTGCAAACTTAACCCCTTCACTGCCGATTTCCTGCTCTGTTGGCACAGGGGAAGATTCCCAGTCAATATAACTCAACTTACCAGGTCTGGAAGTCAAAACCATCAAAAGATGTATGCTTAAGACAATAGGAGCTGGAAATGCTGACCCTTCCATCTGAGGCCTATCATGAAGTGCAAAAAGATCTCTCAACCGGTGAATCACTTGATAGGAAATCAATAACTCGAGCAAACCATCACGCATCTGAAGTTGTCTTGCTTCTAAGCTTATATGGCCAAAAATAGCAGTAACAGTCCACAAAAAATTAATTAATATTTCAGAAATCGATTCAAAGTTCTCCGCAGATGTTTTAGTTGAGGGCAAACTGACATTGCCAGGAGTACTTAGAGATGCTGCAATCTTTATGTAGTTCTCAAGAGCTGCTGAAAGCATCGGGATGATTGGGGGCAGAAGATTCAGTGCAATAAAATAACTCCTATTTGCAGGTGCAGATAGTACGACTTTCAGAAGTTTTAACAGGTGCAATGTAACCAGGCATGCTTCAGGTTTGGATGTGTGAGAAGCAGGCAGGGCAGAAGCAATAAAATCAAGTAGTCCAGCTTGTCGAGATGCTTGTAACTCAGGGTCCTTTCCCTCCAAATACTATAAATAATAATTAGTATAACTGACACGTTAAAATTTACTAAAGCAATTACAAAAACTATTATCCCTAAATTCCACAATATGAAGAGGAAACATGCACATTTAAAAATTGGAATCTGGTAGTCAGAAACGAGTTGGTGAGACAACCGTCTATAGAATTATTGATCTACAATTTCTTACTAAACAAAACAAAGACATGTGCAAGCATCAAGGAGAAAAATCGATAGCAAAGCTGAGGAATAATAAGAAACCAACACTATGACAATAATTGGTAATTTCCCCAGAAACATAGTTACTCACTAACTAAACAAGAGCTCTCCTGAAGTGCTGTATGAATTTACACAAGATTCCTAATCAAAGTGTAGGGGTGAAAATCCAATGCACATAAACTGAACCAAACTCAAGCTTTTAACTTTGAAACATATCATAACTTCTGGTTTTAAGGACCCAGAGAAAAGGATATGAGATATAATTTGCAGTGAATGAAAAAATAATACCTTGATCATTTCACAAATTATATGCCCTATACTTGAGGCCCCTTCTTTTCTTGCTTGCCGAAGTCTTTGAAGTTCTTGAAGCCATCGGCCAACTTTTGCCCTGGCAGCACCCACTGCTACTCTATATCCAATTCCAGCACTTTCACCACCAAGAGGGGGCTCAACAAACTCATACTTTAAAGCCATAAGCCTTTGTCGAATTTTCTTAATTCTTCTCTTTATTGAGGGTTGTGATGCGATATTGCCAACTCCAAGACTAGAACCTACTCCTGATGCAATGTTTGTCTGAGAATCATCGCTGCTGTTTGTAGGTGTAGACCTACCTTGTCCGTCTTTATTCAATGATCGACGGGGCAAAGGGGATGACTGATCCCTCAAATTAGCTCTCTCCCGAATTTGCTCCAGGTAAATCTTGCGACGTTGTTCACTCTCATTAAGTCTTTCTGCCAATTTTTGTGCTAAAAGTTCCGCCTCTTCTTGTTGTGCTTTGGCTCTTTCTTCCTTTCTACGGAGCTGTTCAATTGCTCTTGCCTCCCGTGCTGCACTTGATGCTTTTCTTTCTTCTTCCCTTCTGACTTGAGCCTCCTCCTTTTTCCTTTGTATCTCAGCAAGACGCTGTAACTTTTCAGCCTCAATGAGTTTTCGACGTTCCAGAACAGCTTCTTCCCTTGCCAGATCCTCCTTTTGCTTAGATTTTATCACCTGAAGCTTTTCAGCTCTTCTCAACTCTGACTCATGAAGCTTCTGACGCAATATCAATTTTTTATTTCCATCATTTAAGGAAGTAATGAATCGAATCTCGTTTACTTTGCTACTTTCATCTCCAGCTCTCTTTGCCACTTGAGCTAGAAAGGCTTCGTGACGAGATTCACTCCGTTGATGGCGGGCAAACATGCCTTCTCGTAACTTCATATGACGAACAGCATGCCACTCAGTGACACGATTTAATTTTTCAGACGTACGCTGGAGCTTTTGGATTCTCTCATTCTCTAACTCGCCTCTGATTCTCATAGCCCGAGCATGCTTTTCTTCAGCTTCCTTTTTTAAGTCGGAAGTTGTTTTCTTCTTTTTTTCAGGAGACATTAGTTTATCATGCAGTGTACGCACACGCTCGGCACTTTTCCTGCTGAGGCTTGGTGAATGTGACATGCGGGAAGAAACACGAAATGGAGATGAAAGTATGTCCTCCCAATTCCTCTTCTCCTTCCAAGCATTCAAGGACTTTCCAGGTGCAGTACTCCTCTTTTCCTTGTCCTTTTCAGACAGCGGCATCTGCCTCCTAAGGCTATCTATGGGCCTGGGGTTCTTCTCATTAATAACTACTATTGGTGCCTTATCTTTCTTAGAAAGCAGCTTGTCAGCCCCAGATCCAAGGTGGTCTCTTTTACCCTTGGTAGAGGCAAAAGAAGAAGAACTTTCCAAGGGAGGTAATTTTGATAAATTAACTTCTGAAGCTAATATGCTTTTGCGTGTGTCACATCCACTTTGCACCGTGATAGCAACAGAAGATACGATATGCTTTCTTGACTTTGTCACTGGATCTTTGGCATTGTGAGTTCCATCACTGACCATAGATATTTTTACATTGCCAACAGATTCAGAAGTCAAACATTTAGACATGGAATTTTCTGTGTTATTACTAGCACGCTCTTGTTGAATCTTCCTAAAAGCCTCAAGAGATGAAGACAGTATATCTGCCCTATGAGGTGAAGTTGTCATCCGGCGGACCTAGAACCAGAGCAACTGAACAAATTTAGCATAGCAACTGAACAAATTTAGCATAAGAAATCCATTGAGCAGATTTCTAATAGGAAATATTCATAATCTCGTATGTGAAGTCAGAGGACCTGCTTACGGGAAACAATAAATTACGCAGGACAAGACCACAAATCATCACAGATATATCCACTGTTAGTCTAAATTACAACATTTATAATAGTACAAATTGTAAACTGGATCCAGTTGGAATGACATATCATGCATAAGTTCTAAAATAAACAATCTCCAATGGTGGGTAAGCTCATAAGATCTTGTTCAAAGTGATAGGTTAACAAGCTTACATTTGATCTGATCCTAACATATTCATACCCAATCATACAACATAGAGAGACTCCAAATATGTATTTGCTCATACACGGCTAAATGTTTATGTAGAATTGCAAAGACATATCAAGATGGACATATTCACAGAGAAAACTCTATCCCTCTTAATATACCACATACGGCAGAAAAGAGTAAACTTCAATTTCAAATTATATATCATATTAAAACAAAGAAGTCAAAGAAACAAAACACAGTAGAGAAAGAAAACTGTAACTGTGCATAGTATTATCATACAGATGATTGCTAAATGTACATGCACATTACACTCACATCGACCCTCACATTATAAAATATCAAGTGCAGTAATCATCTTTAGAGTTCATCCATTCTGAGAACCGGAAGACACGGCAGGTCATCATACATTTGTTTAGTACAGGGAGACATGTCTTTTCTAAAAATGGTGAATTTGTTATTAGTGAATAAAATAGTTTCCCCATATGCAGGTCCACAACATCAAGTACAATATATATAAACCCATGAAAGACGCATAGTGGTATAATGAAACCACAATATATCACCATGAAGAATGGAAAGAGGCAAGCTAATAGCAACAACATATGATCAGGCATACCTCCCATGAGAGAGCATGTGGCCTGCGATGATCACTCTTCAAAAGGGCAGGAACTCCATCAACTACTTGAGAGGACTTTTTAACCTTTTCAAATTCCTCAACTCTAGCGATTAGCTCTTTAAAATCAGATGCAGACTCCTCAAGAACAAGAATTGCCTCTTTCATCTGATCCAAATCACATTCTAGTTCACATAGAAGATACAGTTCATCTACAGACCTATTAAGATTCTCAAATAGAAAGCACCAAAGCCTCTGTCTAAACCTTTCTCTGCTTTCATTTGAACCGGCTTCTTCTAGAGCATCCATATTATGTGGTCCTGAAGAAACATTTTCCACATTACCTTCTTCTAGAGCAACCATATTATGTGGTCCTGAAAAAACATTTTCCACATTACCATCGGCTTGATCCCTAACCTCTTCAACAGAAGTGGAATCCATGAAAATTTCGGGCACTTGTGAGGAAGTATCCTCTGAGCTGCAATTTTGCTCTGGCATTTCCGAATTTTTGATATCACTTGCCACATTGATAAGGCTATGCACTTGATTTGCAACCACCGCATCATCTTTGGACGTCAAATGTTCATTATCAACCCCATCGTCGGTTGCTGGTTTACTTACTTCTTCATTTTTATCATCACAATATAATGCATCATCTTCTAGACCAACTTTTTCCCCATTCACTTCTAGAATGTTGGAATGCTCCAGAGATGTATTCTTAACATCCTCACTATTCTCTCCCAATACTTCATCCACACATCTAAATGAAGAGTTCGGATCATGAACAGTCTCTACACCAGCAGATGGTGCAGTCGAATCTTTTTCTTGGGCATGATATGAATCAACATGATCAGAAGTAATTTCATGCTTTTTACAGCTGAGCAAACTATCATCTCCAATACTACCAAACTTAATTCCAACTCCAATCAAGTTTTCATGTGGCCGAAGTGTCAGGCCCCCCTCCCTCAAATCACCCCGTCTTGATTGCTGGACTACATCAGTCTTATCAGTATGGTGTAACTTCTTAGCTTCTTCATGTTTACCTTCGGATTCCGTGCTAATTAGCGGATCTGACTTCTGAATTACAATTTTAGGTCCACTCACATTTGTATTAATATAGCTTGTGCCCACCTCTTCCTTTGACACAGAAGGGGAACTCGCAACACTTACAGGAACAGGGCTTTGTAAAAAACTCTCCCTGGACCTAGAAACACGAGTTTTCTGCTTTCCATGTGAACTGTTTTCCTTTTTAGTCATGGACTGCTGTTTCCCTTGAGAGCTAGAAGAACTTTTCCCTGAAAATCCCCCCATCCAACTCTGCAAGGAGAATTTTGAAACATTCCTATGCTTCTGGATAACATAACATCGAAACAACAAGAATTAAGGAATGTAAGTAAAACTTGTACAACAATCCATAACAAAAGTAAACAATCTTCAATCCGAGACTCAAATATTATTATATATCTAAAGCTAAAGAAAATGAACAAGAATTAGCATTACCCACAACCAAATTACAAACTAGTCTTAAAGAAAACATTTGATACTAAAAAACTATATAAAAAAAAATTAAAAGAAAAAAAAACTCATTTTTCCTTTTATCTATCTTAAATAGGAAAATCAACAACAACAAAGAAGAAAACAGTTACAAATAAGAACTCAAAGTAGATTGCATCAACCGAATTGAAAAAAATTTAATTAAAAATAAAATAAAAAAGAACAACCTTTTTGACTTGGAACCATCCTGAGTTCTGATCATCAACTCCTTCACTTTCCTCCATCACGAAACCCCAAATGCAGGTAGTGATTAACGTTAAAGAATTCAAAATTCAATCAAAATTGACATATAGATGAAACTGAAAATATCTCAATTGAGAACGATTTTCAAAACCAAATCAAAATATTTAAAAAAGAATTAAAGGAAAGGGGAATGAATTGGGAAGCTGCGGAAATTGAGAGTGAAAAGTGTGGGTTGTGGTTTTTTAGGGTTTTGAGAGAAATAGTAATAATTTAGGAAAGAAAGAAAGTGAGTGGAAGGAAACAAGAGGGAATTGATTTAGACAAAATTAAGTAGAGTAAGATTAATGCTAACCATGTTTACTAATTCTGCTATGAAGGACCATTTTCATATTATATTATGCTAATGCAAAATTTCCAAATTGACAGAATGATTACACCTTATTTAAAGATTTCTGATTTCATTCTTTGTGATCAATTTAACTCATATTTTGTCACTTCTAGTAGCTTACACTTTAGCATGAGCAACACTTTCATGACTTGTTCTCATGCTTTTTATCATGTGGCTTGCACTCTTGCATTAACCCCATGTTTAATATGGGTGTTTAGTTTTTTAGTATTTCAAAATAGGCAATATAATAGACTTAATTTATATTGATTGCAAATACAAAAACTCATTTGTTTTTTTCAACATTAATGAGTTTTCGAATTTGCACTTAAAAAGTTAGATTTAAAATTAAAATAAATAAATAAATTGCAAAACTAGTTTGTTACTCTACCTCTTTTGCTAGATGCAAAAACATTGATTACGTTTAGATGTAAGTTCAAATCCATCACATATATTTATTCACCTCTAAGAAGTGAAATCTCTACCATTAATCTACTAAACCAAAAAAAAAAATGCAAAATTAGATCTTAACCTATCATGATCATCATCACCGACCAAATTTCACAAAATTCAAATACACCCACCAAATTTCACAAAATTCAAACACATTTAACTTCTATTGAATGAATTAAGTTAGAACAATATCTTCTTTGAACATGTGGATGTTTATTGTGTATTTATACAAGCTATGAAGTTAGTTATTTTAACGAATTTTCATAACTACTTTAATCAATCCTAACCAATTTTTCAAAAGTAGTTATGTTACTTCTGATTATCTCTAATACTCTCTTATAAACTCATGGCCTGTGAAGAGAAAATGACTTTGATTTTGGTCTTAAAGTTTTGGAATAAACTAGTTGGCAAAGATTTTGTGAGTGCATTTGGTATTTGTGTTGGTCCTGAAACATGTTGAATGTGGAGTTTGCTTGCTACTACTCTTACATAAACAAACTGGATATCAACCTTTATGCGTTTGGTCCTAACATGCAATATGGGGTTATAGGAGAACACGACTTCACTTAGGTTGTCACACATCAGTATTGATGCAAGATAGTTGATGTGTAGTTCAGATAAACGAGACTTAAGCCACAATAATTCAAAGTTTGTATGTGTCAAAGCTCGATGCTCTACTTCAGTGCTTGATCGTGCGACAAGTGATGACTTCTTTAAGCTCTAAGAAACTAGGTTAAGACCAAAGTAAACACAAGACCTTGATGTAGATCTTTTATCACTGTGATCATTGACTCAATATGAACCACTCACTACTACAAATACTACATTTCTTAACAAAAGTTTACCTCGGTGTTATTATCAGCCGAGATAAAATTACTTAAAATGCACCTTTATTTTAATTTTAATTTAAAAAATAAGTCACCTATTCCCTCAGTTCAGAGATTAACCGAGGGGAAAGGTCCACCAAGGACAATCTTAGATTTCTTCACTATTATAATTTCGTATTTTATTATCTTACCGATTAATCAGAATCTGAGAAGTGGCTGAAAGATGACCTGCAGTCGGGCTGTGGAGTCAAGGAGAAAAGGGGGTTGTACCTGCAAGGCACTCCGACGATCAAGTAAGAGTGGAAACAGGGAGGTACAAGCAAAGTATTAGGTGGTGAATATTTGATATTTGGCCCTCACAGGTGTGAGGGTTTATATAATGCCCATGACGCGTGGCCATTGGTTCCTGATTTCACACTTAGATATACGGGTCCGTGAAATCGTGTAACTGCCAGGACTTGGTCAAACCGGACAGATGTGCCCGTAACTAGTCGTTGGTTTCGAGGAGGGGTTAGTTACGGGCCTCTCTCTGGTCAGTTCTCGGTGGCTTGCATGACGTTGATATCGGGCAGACTGAGAGGATGCTCGTCGATGATCCCGGGCCAATGCTGAACTGGGAGGGCAACGGTTGTCATTTCCCGAAAGGTAATGGGCATTCTGGGTTATGACCGTGCAGGCCGTGCCAAAGAAGATCTCTTAGACTGGGCACAATCAAGTTGTTGGGCCAGTCTATAATAGTAGCCCCCCGAGTCATTACTTCTGGGCATAAGAGTGATGACTTTAACATCTGCTTGAGGGATGGGACATGTCTGACGGGGAAATGAGTATTGCTCATTAAGCCTTGCCTACGGGGAGGCGAGACGTTGGTCGTTAGAACTTTTGAATTTGGAGAGGTAGCGTGTTTTAGGAAGCGTGCTAGCGGAGCGACACAATGATGACCTAGGGCTAGGGTGTAATGATTACGACCCTAGGGTTCCCCAGGCGCGTGTTTTGTACGTGAAGATTATCTCAGCTATAAATACGAGAGGAACACGGCATTTAATATTTTTCGCATTCTCTCTCAACTGCTCGTATTAGCTTGACAGCCACCCATCTGTGTATGTTGAGTTTCTCTGCTCGCAGCTGCTAGCTTCCATCTTTTCTTCTATTACTGGTAAGTTTCTGATCTTCCATTGTTGTTTGCTTTTGTATTTTTGCTTTTTCCTTTCTAGAGATGCATGCGGCTGGGATTTAGGGTTCTGTTAGGGAGGATGTCGTTGGAGACTGTTGGTAGTGGACGGTGTTTCTTTGATTTAGAATCGTCGGAGCTGTTGTGGGGTCTCCCCAGGGATCTTGTGATGTGTCGTAGGTATCTCATTAGGGTTTAAGGCTTTTTCTGCAATTCATACTCGTTAGTGTTCCTCAATGAGGGTTCTGGTCAGAGATAAGATCCTCGTTTCCCATTGCCCTTTTGCTTGTTTAGCGGTGGAAGGGTGGTTCTGGCATTGATGTCGAGCTCATCTTTTTCCTCTTCTTTTCAGATTCCATGGCTGATACTGCTCGAGTAGTTATTTAGAGCAAATCTATACAGTCTTCTGGGAGTTCCTCGGACGAGACAAGTAGCTTGTCAAGCATCCTAGAAATCTTTGGGGATGTGCAGAACCAGATGGGATAGCAAATGGGGGAGCCTCACGTGGGGGCGAATTTCGCCGACCAGGGTAGCTTGTTTCCTCCTGGAGACGAGGAGAATCCCTGGGATTAGGTCTCCAATGACCCCTAGGACTGTCAGTCGTATTTTTACGAGCACATGGAGGATGTTTTCACGGACGTATACACTCATGAGGAGGGGCCCCAGAGGAATGGTCGTTATATATCCCTGGGAAAGAGAGCAAGATCTTCTCGAAATATGATAGGAGGCGGATCCCAATGTAAGACATTGTTTTTCGAGAGATAGGTCTTTGCCTCCCCTTCTCTGAATTCGAGGTGGCCGTTTTCAGGCAATTGCATGTGCTTCCCTCTCAACTGCACCCAAACGGTATCGTATTTATGCGAGCGTTCGAAATAGTTTGCGACCATCTGAAGATAGGGGCCACCATTCCACTATTTTTCTACTACTTTCACATTCAGAGGAGTAAGGTTGATGGAAAGTGGGGATGGGTTTCCCTGAAGCAAGACAACGGGAAGTTGTTCAAAGCCTATTTAGAGCTTGTCAGCCACTTCAAGGACAAATAGATCTTGGTGCAGCCCTCCTCGACCAAGGCGATGTTGAACGTCTTTAGGACTGCACCGACGGTAAACGAGGACGGCACTCCCCGTTTAAACGAGCTAGGGGAAGCCTACTGAGAACGAAGAATCACTTCGATAGAGAATTTGGCTCCTACGTTTGGAGGGAGGGAGAGCTCGGTGATGAGGATCTGGAGGGCTTTGCCACCCTTACCGCGTTCGTGGCTCGAACCCCTCGGGTCCAGCGAGTTGGTCGGGGAGGCAGGCCTGTGTTGGATAAAAACGGGGAACCCGTATACGAGTCGGGCCTCATAAACATCAAGAGCTCCTCGAAAGCGAGGACCCTTCTAGATACTTGGGTATATATATATATATATATATATATATATATATATATATATATATGTGTGTGTGTGTGTGTGTGTTTCTAATAGTAGTGAGGGGCTATCGTTTATCTGACTCCTCGTTTTACTGACTATGTTTCTTTTTGTTTGTTTTGCAGAAAGCATGAATTCTGCTCAGAAACGTTTAGCCAAAACTCTTGTTGCCCGATCAAGGAGGGCTTTGAAGGATGCACAGACTGGTGCGGGGCCAGCTCCTGCCTCGGGGTCGGGCGGCTCGTCCTCAGCTCAGGCTATAGTCGTTCTATCTCCCGTTGTTGTTTCTTCAAAGGCGAAGAGACCGCGAGCCGAGGGGAGTGTCGACCTGACCAGGGAAACAGGGAAAGGGACATACGACTTGCCTCCTTGCTGGATGGAGAAGTCTTTTTTCGAGGGCGTAGCTCTCCGTCTTCCCCGGGACGAATCTCTCCTTCTCAAGGGAATGGGCCGTCTGGAGAAGAGCGCGACGCTGGCATAAGATAATGGTGGTCTGATATGGATCTTCGAGATGGCGGTTGCTTACACCGAGGGGAGTTCATCTCAGGAGGCGGAAATGAAGAATCTCTAGGCCAAGCTGGCTGCGAGCGAGAAGGCCTTGGTCGAGAAAGATAAATCCCTGAAGCTATCTGAGGAAGAATCGAGGAAGCTCTCTGAGGAACGCAGGGTTCTCTTTCTCGATAAAGAGGTCCTCGAGGGAAATGTAGCGGCCCTAACTACTGAGATTACGCCTACTAAAGACGAGCCAAAGGATACTAAGGATCTGAAGACTCGGGTAGAGTTGGTTGCTCGTTTCT